CAAAAAAAAAAAAAATATATAATTTAGATATCACTTAAAATTGATGGGACTGTGGCTTAAATAATTCGGATGACTATTAAACTATTAGTCACATATAAATTATTAATAATGTGGATCATTTTCTTAATGCTTGATTTTCATTTTCATTTTTCTAGTATTTATGCAAATGGTTTGACAGTAGACTACTTGATTATCCCTCATATCATATGTATGGTAGAGGATATGGTATTTCCATTTTTATCCTCTCCCACTACTACTACGATGGACTAAATAAAGATAATTTATTTGCTTAAAAAAAATCAATACACTTTTGTGTATCTAGTTCAGAGTCAAAGTCTCATATTTATAAAGAAAAATTAGGGCTATAAGGATTCCCATTCTTGTCCTCTTCCACTACTTGAGTCGATTGAAAAGAAAAAAAAAATGAATATAGAATTTAGACAATATAATATTTTAACATAAATTTTACTAAGTAAATAATAAGAGAGTATTTAGCTATTATTATATCTTTTAAGTTAATTTTAGTTATCTCTTCTACCTAAATAGCTAATTACTTTCCAGTTAAACTCATTCCAAAATGAAGATCTCAATTTCTTGTAACAACATTTATACATCATCTTGAATTCTTCCTATTCTCATTAACAACCTTCATACATCTACAAATATTTGGCAGAAAACTAAAGAACAAAGGATTATACAAAGAATTATATTAAAATTTCGTGAAATTCAGAGACATAAAAAATAACTAGATCTACCAAGAATTACTCATTTGAATCATTTCAAAACACTAAACAATTTAACCAATAAATGTAACATATTGAAAATGAAAATAAAAATAGTTCATACGTCGGAGGAGGGGTAAATGAGTAAAATCATCGACTAGACTTTACACTTCATTCTTCATAATTATAATCTATTGTCGCCATATGCCAGGGATTGAAAACTCACCCCATTGTGTCTTCCCTCTTCTTCTCGCTGTTTCATCTCTTCTTCACAATTTCTCCTCATGGAGTGTGTACAGATGCTGAAAAACAGAGCATATTAATTTGCCAGACATTGTAATTATATCATATATGTTAGAGTAAATTATGAAAAATGGAAGAAATCCTACATACCTATATCACTAATTGAAGCAATTGGAAATGTCAATAAATTCGTGGTCTCCTATCTGTACTTCCTTAAGCTTCGGTGCATTTAGCTGTCCTGAACAAAATTTTGTCATCATAGGGCAATCTTCAATTCTCAATAGATCAAGTGAAGGGAACACAACTTCATAATTATGAGGGCAAAACATGTTGAATCTTGGAAGTCCGATTAGTTCTATACGCCTCAATTCATGGAACACAATATTGCTAGCCGTTTCTTCTT